TCTCTTTAGGGAGCTGTAGCTGTATGGACTTCTCAGAGAAAGTTATTTGTGCTCTTAACTTGCATAACAAATCTCTTCTCTGTAGTACTTCTCTGAAGTACTCTGAGACGTACTGGACATTCTGGCATATAGAGAAATTCACAGGTTACCATGTTTTCTTTGGGTTTACATTCCATTTGTTTCAAAATGGTTTTAGGGCTCTCTTTCCCATGACCCCAGCTGTGGGCATATGGGTGTGGTGGGTTAACCCTGGCTGAGCAAGTAAATGATGCCCACCAAGTCACTCTATCACCCTCCCCCTTTCGTCTCCTTCTTCCATAGGACAAAAGGGGAAAGGAAAAGATAGAGACAAAAGCATTGTGGATAAAAACAATGGCAGTTTAATTAGAGAGCAAAAGCAAGCAATGCCACGTGTGGAAGCAAAGAGGGAAAAACCAAAGACTTATTCTCAACTTCCCATCAGCAGGTGATGTCTGGCCATTCCTCAGAAGCAAGGCTCCAAACGTGTAGTGGTTGCTCTGGAGGACTGATGAGTAGTCCCCCCGCTCCTTTGTACGAGCTTTATAGTTGAGCTGATGTCATATGGTATGGAATATCCCTTTGGCCAGTTCAGGTCAGCTGTCCTGGTTATGTGCCCCCCAAGCTCCTGCCCCCTCTGTCCCATTGTGGGGGGAATGTTAGAAAGAATGTGTGACCGCTGCTCATTGGCAGTCATAACATGGGTGTTACTAACACCCTCCTAACTCTCAGCACAGAAGCGCTGCACCAGGAGGGCTGCTATGGGAAAGTCAGCTCAGCCAGACCCAATACAATGGGTTTTACTTAAGGGTCCTTTACAACTAGATATGACCAAGTGAGTGGCCCCAGTATCTAATACGAAATAAATTGTTTCATTCCCCATCTGTACAGGATTGCCTGGGGAAACAGAAAACTGAACATCTCCTGCTCCCTGTCAGTCTGAATCAATAGCTTCTAACTTTCTCTGTCTTAAAGGTTTAGACCATCCATACCCCATCCCTGGGCTCCATATCCCCTGCCTCCTCTTCTGTTGTTCTCTACTGAATTCCCTCTAACAAACACTGCTGCTATCATACTTGCTTGCAACTTTCAGTCCTTACGGAATTTTTTTCTCCTCTTTATCACCCCCTCAGTTATTGTAGACTTTATATGCTATGTCAGTTAGCTGAGATACAGGCATTCCCTCAGACTTCTGTTTTATATTTTTTTTTTCCTTGCAACTTTCTTTGTATATCTGAGGCAGACTGTCCTGTGAAAAGAGTATTGAAAAACATAAAATTCTCTTTATCCTCTGGATCTAAGTCTGTTTATTTCCTGGCTGCCTCATGTCCTCTCATAGAAGGCAGAATGATTCTCAGTAAGTCCTTGCCTTACATCATATAGCTTTGAAATGTTCTTTTGCATAGGTGCCCCTTGCCATATCCCATATAAAATCAATTACTGATATTGTTTAATTGTAGCCCTTCTGGCATCTAAATTTGTGTCCCATTCAGAAGCAGCTCTTGGCATAAACTGGGCTGGATTGTCATTCACATTTAACCTCTGATTTTCCTGCACTGCCTTTTCCAAAACTAGCCTCTTCTCCTCAGGGGAGAACAGAAACTTTAGCAATGTTTGTACATCTCCCCACGCTGGATTACCATTAAGCAACTGGGAAGAGGAGAGGGGATAAAACCTCATTTTCCCCTGCTATCATTCGGGGATGCCGCACTATCTGGAGGGGGGTTCTGGTGTGGGTGTGGAGGGGAGGCGGACAAATGGATTATCTTGTGGGGGAGGTTGGTTATCATTTCTTCTCTGCCTCCCCCTTCTTAGTCAAATAAAAACTGCACATCCTTTGGCTCTTCTGGTTCCTCTTGTGTACATTCAACGTTCCTCTTCACACGTGTGCTCCTAATATTAGATACAGAACAACATCCCACTTTCCACAAAAGCAATAATACCAGTAACATCATTATCTATCAGTTTACATGTTTTTCTAACATCATGAGAATTCTGCAACAATAACAAAAAGCAAACGAACAAAAAAAAACAAAATCCACAAAACAAACAACACACACCATCCCATTTTTCTGTCCATCTACAAAATAATATCAGTTGTAAAATTGTATTATAACAAGAGTTCCATTTTCTGGCCATTTCTCCCCTTCACTTAGATTATATGGTGGCCACTATTGTCAACAGTATTTTTGTAGTGTTTTCTTTTTTCAGGGGATCCCCACCAAATTTTTTTCAATTTTTAAGGATGCATCCTAGAGGGGAGTACAAGACGAAATCTCGGTAAAGGAACCCAAGCCTATGTCGATTTCTAGGAAGAGGTTTGCAAACACCAGAGGTTCCAATTTTACCAGAGGAGCTAAAAAAACCAGACAGAACTTGCACCAGAGGTCCCAATTTTACCAGCTCAAAAACCAAACAGAACTTGCCAAGGCACAGCTTAACCAGACTTCCTAGAAATTTTAACCAGAGCCAGATTCCTGCTCACTGAGATTTACCCCTCGCAGTAATATCTCAATTTGGCTGGTGTTGCACCATTGTGCTGCTCACCGTCCGACCATGGGAGGGAAGTCAAAGGGAGTCCCCAAACAAAAGGCCGGTGCACGCTGGAGTCCCACTCAGGCTGCCACTCCCCGGTGGTATGGCGAGTCGAATGGGACAAGGCATGGTCCCATTTGGGTTGTCAAAATGTTGTCTCAAAAATGGATTCTTTATGCAGTGTGCAAAATCCAATCCACACACAGAGATGAGATACGACGTTTGTTATAACCTTGCACAGCGTCAGGTGCTGGCAGGCTAATGCCAGAACTAGCACACCCTAGCAACAGAACAGAGAATGTTTATGCAGGGGGGACTGAAATGAAGTTACACTGTAGCTATTGTCCCTGATTGGTGAGGGGGCTAAATTGATAAAGGATGCTTTGGTTTAGGGGTTTGATTTAATCACCCTAAGGTGGAGCCATCTTTCCAGTCCAGCAATTATCACCCTAAGGACAGAAATCCTGAGGCCTGTGTAACAAGGAGTATGGCTCCATCTTCTTTACTCCCCCCATGAGGTGTTTGCCCATATTCTCAATGGGCATACTCCTGATTCCCAAACATTAATTGGCTGCCTTGTTGGTCCATTTCCACTTAAGAGCTGTGAGAAGTCAGTGTTTTGCATGAGGCAGCAGCAGCTCTGTGCTCCTTGCCTTCAGAGGAAAATCCACCACAGATCATTCACACTGTGCCTTTCTAGACAGGTATGTTTGAGCAGAACCTGCTTATCAGAGCCAGGAAGTCCTAAAGGAAGAAAAGCCAGACTGTCTTCAGTATTGTCCAAGTAAATGTATTAGCAAAAGCTGTGTTTTCTGCTCATTTTTGTCAGGTCTAGAAGCACCAAAACAAATGTCTTGTAGGACCTGCATATTATTGCAGGTATTATACTGCTTAAAGTTTAATATTTATATTCTGTTTAAAATGAAGAGCTTCCTCCTTGAAAGTTGGAAATCTTCAGCTACAAGGCTACTGCATTTTTTAAGGTTTGCAGCACCCTAACTCACAGGTATTTTTATTTTTTAAAGTTATTTTCTGACATTGGCAGCTGAATAATAAAGCAAGGCATTTGCTAAAAGGATGTTAGTCTTTTGTGCTGTTCTTAGAAAGAAAGTTATCTCAGGGTTTGGACCTATTTTAGGTAGTAAAAGTTTTGATATGGAAGATTAAATGTTTGTTGTCATTTTAAGGATAACATTTCAGCAAAACTAGCTGGCAGCCTCCAATAAAAATTACTTGCCAGCTGGGTCAAGCCAATAAGGTGACCTGTAGGAGCGAAAATTCAGCTTATAATGTGAATTTTTGATTTGGTTTGTGTTTTAGTAGAATCGTTTCCAGGACTTAAGCCAGAGATACTGTGAACAACTTTCTTAATTGCTTAAGTGGGGCAAATGTCAGCAGCAGTGCAGCCTAATACAGAAACCAAATGGCAGGGTATGCAAAAGGTTAAAGTGAGTTTTCCTTCCTGGTGTTTGTTTAGCTTTGTTCCCTAACTGTAATTACAGCAGAAGTAGTCTTGTGTGTCCTAGATGAAAGACACAGCAATCTGGGCTATATGGCTTGTGGATCCATTGTGCTGGGGTGGAGGTATTGGGTACGCCTCTGACCTCTGCAGCTCCGCTTCAGCAAATGACCTAAGTATGTGCTTAACTTGTAGCTCATCGTGATTTTGAGTCTGTTAGTTCAGGTCATGTAGGGAAGATTTGCTTTCCCAGACTCTGCTGGAAATACTCCTCTGGGCACTACTTCTGGCTTTCAGAAGACTGAGGGTAAGATCAGATTGACATTATTATGGTGTGAATCTCTGCTGAGCTCAGAGCAGCCTCTTCAGAGAGATAGTCTGTGCATGCATACCATGCCCGGTGAGTCACGGACATTTGAGCTTTCCTGCCTGTAGGCAAATAATTGCATGCCCAGGACTTCTGGATTGTCAGACATCCAGAAATCTTCAGCAAATGGGTCAGACTCCTCTTTTTCTAAACCACCAAATTCTTGGGAAGAAAAAAATACAGTAGCTAGACACATGGTTTATTGCTGAGTTGCAGCTTCCTTTTAGCAATAGAAGGCCTGTGTATTCTGTGCAGGCTTCCCTGAAGTGCCATGCGGTGTTTCTGAGGTGTTCTATGGGATTTCCCTTCAGTGGCATGGACCTGCTTGCAGAGCAGCAGATAGGATGACCAACAGTTTGAACTGGATCATCAGGTTATTGCTTTGATTCTGTGTTGCCAGTTCATCTGTGGTGTTCAGCACTGCCAAGTCTTCTTGTCGTCAGCAGATGGCCCCAGTCTTCCTGCTGGTCTGCTGCCAGTGATGTCTGAAGTCAGAGAACATGCAGTGAAACGAAATTCTCTTTTGCAGATTAAATTGCAGACTTGAAGATCCAACTCACACGATCGGTGTTTTATTGTTCCTTATGGTGTAGCTGGTGATCATTCCTGAGAAAGAATAAGATGATGAGTGATGCAAGTGACATGCTCGCTGCGGCTCTGGAGCAGATGGATGGCATTATAGCAGGTAAACACTTGGGCAACTTGTTCATTTAGCTGTTTGGGTTGTCCTCTCTCATACCTGGAGAGCAGAGGTTTAGGCTGAGAAGGAATGTGGTGGTGATTGTGTTTGGTGTCTTCCCTTGTAGCTTAGCAATTACAAATAAATGGAGTGGAGGGATTGCACAGACTCACACACAGCCTTTATCAAAATGCTGTTCAAAATCACTGAGTAATGCAGTGCAGCTGGTACACACAGCATCATGAAAGCCAAGGACAACAGGCTGAGTGTGTTTAAAGAACTGCGGCAAAGTAGGAAGAGTAAGTTTTCCTAACACTGCTCTGAACTTCTCTAAGTTCTACAGAGTTAAATCATTAATTGTTTTTTTTTTTGAAAAATCAGAATGCTCTGTGTCCAGACATTTGGTTACGACCTGCCTTCAACGTTTGAGGTTTTTGTAAGTACCTAAAAATTGTAAGTGGACCAAGGAGAGGCGTCGCAAAGTATACAACCTCTGCTTTTAAGTTGAATCTAGTGAGTTAGAAAATAATAAAAGTACACAATACAAAGAAGCAAAGCAGCAAGAAGTTAATGGTTTAATCTTATTCCAGTAGAGCTATGTAAGCAGCTACCCAAACTGAAAAAATATTCTGGAGATATAGCAACACAGTTATAAAGTCTTCAATAGTTCCACTTAGAATAATTTCCCTTAGGGAAAAAAAATCATCATACAGTGCATGCTTTGTTTGAACAATGACTTTTCTCTGCAATTTTCCTAAAGATATTAAGGACACGTAGCAGGAACACATGTAAAGAGGTTTCAGTTGGATCATAATGATCGCTAAAAATACATAAAAGCTATGGCTTTAGTAATTTCTGTAGGTAGATACTGGTATTTGGATATGATCATATACTTGGGTTTCCAAGAGCTTAAGTTAGTTGTTACAGAATGAGGTTTAATATAAAAATAAAATGTGATGTTGGGTTAAGACACCACAGGCTTCATTTACCCATGTGTCTGAACAGATCTATAAATTAATATAACAAAAGGATATCAACTCCTAAGCTGTTGTGGTGATTTTTCTCCCTTTACTTTTTTTTCAAAGGGAATGAGCACAGTACTTGCATTTTTATGTCTTGCCAGATGAGGTGAATGAAAGTTCATGTAAGCGCATATATGGCATGTGATATAGTTTGCAAAAGCTGTCAGTGCAGATGATGCTCTGTCATGAACACGTCTCATTGTGCCAAGGCATTACAGTATTAAGGTCACAAATTAGCATGCTGAAATTGTAGTTGGAATTAGCTAGGCTGACTTAAATCAGCCTTAATCTTGAGTTCATAGTTTCCTTCCTTATTTAATACATAGCAAATACACATACTGTCAAATATACATACTGTGAATTTGTGCAAATGAGAGACTTTATTAACGTGCAAAAGTAAGTGCTGCCGTGTCAGACTGTTTGGTTTAAAATTTATTCTCATGTAGAAGTGGTTTGGTCTTCATTTTAGTTTTCTTTATGCTTTTAAAAAATTTCCAGTGCCTTGGAGTACATGTTCCTACATAACACAATGTTGAGCCTTGTTGACCTTCTACAATGAAAAATGTAGAGCCTGGTCTCCTCTGGACACCATCACTGCCTGATTTGGGTCATGCAGTCCCTACAGGGTGCCTCAAAGTGCTCAGGGAGCCTGTCCCCTCCACAGGACTTTCACCTCCAATACATCCCGTAGAGCAGGATCCCAGCCTTAAACCTGTGGCCATGTTTGTGGCATACATGTCTTCTGTCAGATCAGCCCACCTCCTTCCTGCTGGAGCTGTCATCCACATAACATGCCAGCAAGGACTAGCTCTTCTCCAAATTCCTGTGTGGTACAAGTTGGATGGAGTACCAGAGCTGAGTTTGGTTCAGATAAATGCCTGCCAGGAGCAAACCCTGCCTAGCATTTCTAAGCCTTGCCGTGTGTCGGACCTGCCTGCCTTGTGTCTGACCACATGGGATCTTGTTCTCTCCAGGTTCAAAGGCGCTGGAGTACTCCAATAGCATCTTTGACTGCCAGTCCCCCACCTCTCCCTTCATGGGTGGCCTGCGGGTACTGCACCTGGTGGAGGACTTGCGAGGCTTGCTGGAGGTGATGGAAATAGACGAGAGAGAGGGGCTGCGCTGCCAGGTTCCAGACTCCACGGCGGAGGCCCTGATCGAATGGCTCCAAAGTCAAATGGTATGGTCTCTCCTTGTTTCACCCATAATGTATTTCTTTTTTTATGTGAGCTAGACCAGCTCAGGCAGCAAGGCTGTGTTTCATGCAGGCATTTAAAAGTTTCTGAATAGGTTTCAAAGGACCAAAGGGGAGAGATTTTGGGTTGCAGATACTGCTGTAGGGCCTTGGAAAGCTGTTGCTTAAATACCTCATGCAGTGGGTTGGCCTGTGTTTCTTTGATGTAGCACTGCACCTCAATCTAGCAAAAAATTTTTGCTAGCTGGAGTTTCATCTCAGAGGGGTAGGGAAAGATGATTTTATAGGAATCAGATGCTTAAATGGGGAGAAAAAGTTGGTTTTGGTATGAACTTTTCACTAAAAAGCATTTTTGGCAGCATATTTTCTACAGGGACCAGTGTTGTTATTGAGCTTCCTTACCTGGTTTATAACAGGAGTGATATAAGCTTATATATATGTATGTAAAGTGGTATATCCCGTTTAATCTGGATACCAAAACAAATGTTTATTTTCTGTGTTTGTGAGTCTGCCAGTTTTTGTCACCTTGCTTTAAATATACACTAAAATATACCTGATAGGCCTCCTCTTTCCCCACGACTTGGTTTCCTCCCAAAATTAGACTTCATTTGAGTGGAGGCTAGGTAAGGACAACCCTGAGAAATAAAATGCTGTGCTTACCAGAAGGTGAGTTATATGCTTTTGTTTTTAAACTCACTGGTTTTGCCTCCAGGTGCCCTGTAACTGGTGACTTCCTAGCAAGGACAAAGACAAGTCGTGCTCGTGATCTGTGGCAGGGTTTGTGTTTTGGTGGTCCGGGTGGGCACAGGTTTTGGGGGAGATCCAAGCAGTGGAATTCAAGACTTATTCTAGGGGCCATGCTTCAGGTTTTAAGTCAGCCTGTAGCTCTTACAGTGACAGAAGAGGATGTGCACTTCTGCATATTTTGCCAAATGTATCTTACAGCAGTGTCTGGGTCCTGTTATCTCACACACTCTGTGTTGGCCAAGATAATACCGTGCTGCTCTAATGGGGATGCCAGATCTGATGAAGATGTGGTCTGATGCAGGACAGACCACTGTGGTGGCTCTATGTTGCACCCTGTGCATTGCTGCTGTTGGGACAGGCAGCCACCATCACCTGGTCCCTTCCCAGGATGGACATCACACCCTCTCAGAAAGGCTTCAGTTACCCTGGAGCTACAGCTGATCTGGCAAAAAGCATTTCCATCTCAATAAACAGATTTATTTCAGTGCTCAGCTGTAGCCGAGGGTGATGGGTGCAATCGTGCTGCCAAATGTCTGGGAAGGGCAGGCCAGTGGTGGGGCAGGTGTGGGATGATCTGAGGTGTCAGCATGTGAGCTGCGTGCAGTGCTGCCAGGAGAGACGAGCACCTGGGCTAGCGCAGCTGGCTCGCTTCCGTGGCTCTTTCAGAAAGGTTTGAGGGGAGAGCTTTGGGTTTTTTTATTCTTTGCTTTGAACAAGTAATTTGAAAGTACATGAAACTTCATGAAGCACATAGGAACTTTCCCGTTCCCTCCAACGGGATTTGGATCTCACCGCTGCTGTCACAGCACGCCAGCCAATGCTGAGGTTAGGATAAGGGGATGGGAATGACATTCAAGTCAGATCTTTAAAACACATGGAGTTCCTGCTAACATCAGCGTTCCCTTCCTGCGTAACGTACAGCAGTGAACATCGCTATAACTAGTCTCCACTCTGCGTGGAGCAGAAGTCAAGGGACATGAGAGCTTTCATTTAAATATGGCCTTTAGAACTAAAAAAACCCTTTTATATGGCAAATAAACAGTCTTGGAAAATTCTCTGCTCCCCATGGCGTGCATAGACATCAGTACTCTGCGCTCAGTCATACTGATCCACTGTGTTATTCTGGAGTAAAAGGGCCCAGCAGTGAGGCTGGAGGCTGCAGTACCTGTTGAGATTAATGAGGTGAAGGTCAGTCATTGCTCCTTGTGATGGCATGTCTCTGTTTAAGGGCTCAGGGCAGGACCCCACGAAGCAGAATTTGTGTTCCCCCTCCCTATCCCTCAGTTTTCCCCAGGCAGAGAGATAAACAAAGGAAGTCGAGGGGTAATAGAGGTTTTGCACTGATTGGAAGTTAATTAAAAATAAAATATATTATTTAACAGGGAACAGAAAACAAGAAGGGAGGTAGTTATATATGCAAAGGTGGGAGGTATACAAAATAAACACAAGATATACAAAACCCGATCTAGATGGCAAAAGATAGCTCAGGACTGCATGGAATCAGGCACGCTGATGCTCCAGCACACCAAGACAAAGAGAAAAAGGGCAAGAGAGAGAAACACCCCCTTCCTGCCTTTTTTAAAGAGGTGGCAGAGGAAGGGGGAGGGAATATCGGCTCCCCCCCCCTCCCCGGGACCCTCCTGGGTCCTAGAGATCACACCCCAAGCCTCAAACCACAACATGGCAAATGTGTCATTTAGGGATGTCTGGATGTGCAGCAAGGTCCTTCAGATCCATGTGTGATGTGGTTCACCACATGTCAATGAGACAGCAATGGTTTTCATTGCAGCAATGGATGAGACGGAGGACTCTGTTGTGCCATTCAGCTTAGTGCCTCCTGAGCACTGGAAAAGGTATGCAGTGGCTGTGTGTACAAAAGATTGTTGAAAAAATCAACTCTTCTCCTCGGTCCACCTCAAATTATTCCCCTGTACTCTCTGGCATCTAAGCTTATATCAGGCAAGACAGAAAGTTACACTTTGTACTGTACTACAGACATGGGATTTGCAGGTGTCATTGGTCCCTGTCTGAGCAGCACAACATTATGTGAAGTGCCCAGATGATTAGGAGGAAGGCTTTCTGCAACTATGCCTATTCTTGCTGAGGAAGGGGAGGCACCTCCTTATTTTGAAATCAATTGAATCCTCCATGTATGAAGTTGCATCCACCAGGCTATTCCAAGCTGCTGGGACTGGTGTGTGACATCCCATCCAGTGCTGTAAGCAAGTCTCTCATGTCTCAGAGGAAAACAAAAATAGTGTTTGCTGTTGCCAAACAGTGTGTCACAAGAAGAAAATCCTCTCCTGGCCCCTGCAGGGTAACTGATAATGCCCTAGTTGTGAAAAGGGTCTGACACCAGTTTCCCAGAGTTGCTCGCTTCTGTAAAAGGGGGTAGAACATTCAGTTTTGCCATGCCAGAATTGATTGTGTCATGTCCCTGTGCGTCATCTTCGTGACCACTTTCCTTCTGCTCCTTTTGGTGTGTTAGAGAGGTCTATGCAAGCGCACAAAAAAGGACCAACAAGATAAAATGCCTCATGATGACTTTTTTTTTTTTAACTGGTGAATGCCAGATGGTCACGTGACACCAGAGTACATGTACAGTGCCCCAACATCTGCCAGAGCTCTTCCAAGAGAATCCATCGAATGGGGAGTTCAGAGAAGCTGTACATGCAGCTGTCTGGTGAACAAACAAGCCAGTTTAATATAACACACCATTTCTAGTTGTCTGTCTACAGCTCAAAGCTGATCTATCTGTTGCTGAAACCCTGCTCATGTCTCCATGTGCAAATGGATGGCAGGTGAATACCATAGTTAAAATTAAAAATGAGGCCATTTGTTGAAAGTCTGGAAAGGGGCTGAGGCCTTCTTTGCTTAGACATGTTGGAATTGTGTGGTTTCACTGGGGGCAAGACCTGAAATCCAGAGTCAGATCATAAGTATTGCAGAGTTCTGGAGTTTTTCCAGCTTTTTCCTGATAAACAGAAATGTTTAATGTATTCTGACATGTGCTTTAATAAAGCATGTGCTGCATTCTGAAAATGGAGCTTCTGGCTTGAATATAGACAGCATGTGAGTAATCTGTAACATTAACACCATCAACAAGATCAACTGAAACTGCCTTTTGCAAGACTAAGGCAGTCCTGTTGTGTCCAGATGGGAGTTGATAGATCCATTTCTTGAAGAATAGATCTCAGAAACCTTGCTTCCAGTCGTGACTGTTGTTGCTCAGTTGAAACAAGCAAGAGACGGTTTTCTTTCTGATTATTATTTTTCTTGGCAGTGTTTTTTTTAAAAAATACATCTTATGCAAAAACCTCCCAGGAAAAAGAAAACAACTGTGTCTTGTTAAAAAGGAGAGTAAAGGGTAGAAGTGGGTGGACAGTCCCTTCCTGCACCTCAGAGCCAGCTTCCCCAAGCTCCTGAATGAACTTGTGTGTGTGGGTCTTGTTGTGTGTCTTCTCCTCTTTAAAGGTTGTGCTCCTGGAATGAAAGAGTCAGAAATACTTTTTCTTTAAAATCCACAGTAAGTGCAATGGTGATTTTTAGCTTTGGAAGTGACTTTCTGAATTTGACTATAAATATAATAATTTCCTTTCCACTCCAGAAGTGAATTTCTGAAGTTGACCATAAGATATAAAGCAAAACAAACTTTATGGTCTCCAAAGATTTCTTGAAGAACATTTTCACCTTATCTGGAGATCTTAATTAATTTGAGCTGTGGGTACCCATAGTGGCTTGTCAAATCCAGAGTGTTGCTGCTGTGAATAGTAAATCTGTCATCTCACAGACCAGCCTTGGATTTTACCAGTTCTTGAACAAGTTGGTTCTTCCAGAGAGTGACTGGGAATAGTGAGAGTTAATGTGAGGGGATATTAGATTCCAGAGAGAAATTTTCCTGACTGGGTAAACATAGCTTTTAAGCATACAGAGGATTGTTGGCCTCTTTGGACAACAGGCTGATACCCAATGCAAGGAAGTGGTTTAGTTAGCCAAAAATCATCTCATATTTCTTATACATGGAAAAATCTTGTCTCCAAAGCAAAGTTTGTTGTTTGATTGTATTCGTATGGATGTACAGTGCATTCATTTGGTTCAGCTTCTACTTAGGTTGAGTTTAGTTGTCGAAGAGTCCTACAGTGATGTGTAGCACATAGGCATTTACCACCAAACAGGTGTTTGAGATCCCTCCCCAAGCTGCAATACGAAAGGAACCTTGTGATACCATTTCAGCTTGTCATCATAAACTGCCTCCCAGCAATAGATTTTGTCTGTGAGAGCTCTGCCTTTCAAAGTGTTTGAAACATAGGACCCTGCTTCTTGCTAAAGATGATCATCCAGACTGGTGTATTTTTAACTCAGGAAGATAATATGGGCTCATTTTTAGCACTTGCCGAGGAGACCAGCTCCAGTGTAGGTGGGTCCGCGCTGGCAAGGGAGGTCGCGGCAGGAGGAACCGGCAAGGAGCATTTTTGGGGGCTTTTTGAAGCCCAGAAGGCAGCTAGCCGGCTCTTGGGGGGTGGCAGCCGTTGGGTGGATTGCTGAGGCGGCGTGGGTGGAAGGAGTAGTCAAGAGCCCCGGCGCCTGATCTGAACAAGGCGGGAACACACCAGTGGTCACTTGGGGTGCTCAAACCCTTACCCTAGCAATCAAGCTGGGCTGGTGCTGAACTAGCGTGGGCAGAACCAGCATCTCCCACTGTTGATCAGCTGATAAGAACATTCTGGGAGTTCACAGAGAGGATAATCAGTGCTTGGTTGTGTGTGTTTCGGGGGTGTCGCAGCTGTTCGCAGCTCATAGGGCAGGGATGGGAGAGCAGGGTGGGTGGGAAGCGGCACACAGTGGTTGGTTCCCTCCCGACCAGAGAGAAGATCATGGTCACAATGTGGCCAAGAGCTGCAGTGAGGAAGACTGTGGGAACTCAGACCACGGTCCTGCACAAACAGGCAGCTTTGCAGGTCTCTGGATGCAACGAATGCCTGAGCCTGGCACTTGAAGCAGAGGGAATCGGAGGCACCACTTCTGTGTGGTGTGATCAAATAAATGAGCTGCTCAGGCAGATGGTTTGAACTGAGAGAGGAGGTAGAAAGATTGAGAAGGATCAGAGAGTGTGAAGGTGAGATAGATTGGTGGAGCCACACTCTGAGGCAAAGGCAGCAGGAAGAGGCTCTACAAGAAGTGGAGGACCTCTTCCCCTCCTGTCACCAGGCAGAAGGAGGGGACATAAGAGACAAGGGGGAATGGAGAGAGAGGCCTCTCCTTGGAGGAGCAGGCAAAAACCTTCTCAGCCCCCGTCACCTTCCCATTTGTCTTTGTACAATAGGTATGGGAGTTTGGGACTTCGGAACTTAAAGGTCAGTTGAATGAAGATGGAAGTGAGGATCCATCTGGTGATGGAGTGTCTGAGTGAGTGACACCCACAGCTTGTCACTCACCCCCACCTCTTATGATTTTTTCTATTAAGAAGAAAAGGAGGGTAATTGTTGTGGGCAGAACAGGTTGAAAGCTTGTTGGCAAGAATTAAGGCACATGCAAAGGGGGGTGAAACTGTTGTGGGAGTCTACAATAGCCTACCAAACCAAGAAGATGTTGATGAGGCCTTCTACAGACAACTGGAGGCAGCCTCTAGAGCACACTCCTTGGTACACATAGGTGACTTCTATCACCCTGATATTTGTGGGGAAGCCCACACGGCTAGTCACGTTCAGTCATAAAGGCTCTTGCAGTGCATCGATGATAACTTCTTAATGCAGGTAGTAGAGGAACCAGCGAGAAGAGGTGCACTGATGAATCTTGTATTATCAAATAAAGAAGGGCTGGTTGGGGACATTAAGGTTGGGAACAGCCTTGGCGACAGTGGCCATGACATGGTGGAGTTTATTATTTTACAAGGTAGAAGCAGGGCAATAAGTAGGATTATGATCCTGGACTTCTGCAAGGCTAACTTTGCACTTTTCAAAGATCTGCTTGCAGGAGTCCCATTGGCTAAGACTCTGGAGGGTGAATCGGCACAAGAAAGTTGGTCAATTTTTAAATACCACTTCCTCCAAGGTATGTTTCCTTGAGTAAAAAATCGGGTAGACAAGGTAAGAGACCTACATGGATGAGCAGGGAACTTCTGAAGGAAATCTCATGGAAGAAAGAAGTGTATAGCTCATGTAAGAAGGGACTTGTCACTTGGGAGACATATAGGGAAACTGTCAGGAGATGTAGGAAGGCAATAAGAAAGGCCAAAGCCCTCTTAGAACTAAAACTAGCAAAGGAAGTAAAAGAGAACAAAAAAGGCTTCTTCAAATAAATCAGTAGTAAAAGGAACACTAGGGGAAGTGTGGGCCCACTGCTGAATGAGGCAGCAGCCCTGATAACAGAGGATGCAGAGAAGGCAGAGCTGCTGAATGCCACCTTTGCTTCAGTCTTTAACCCTGAGGCCAGACCTTGCAAACTCCAGACC